GTGATGCACGTGGCATCAGCAAACGTCGGTCTCGGCAAGCGGTGTGCGTGTCCACCCACCCGGGCTCCAACCCTTGTCCACCATGTATTCTCAGCACTGGGCATGCTGGGCGCACCAGTACGGAGGCACCTACGTGATCAAGTGTATGACATATGAAAAAAATGAAATTAAGCATAATTAATCTCATAAAAAGTAAGTATTAATGTTCTATATTTACCTACAAGAATTGTTCTCGGGTCAGGTTCATTGTTCTCGCCTCTTCTTTTTTAACCTTCATCCCTCTGTGTTGAGCATAGTAGTCGATGATGGCCTGGATGCGCGCCTCGTAGTGCATGTCCTTCACGAGCTTCTTGGCGGCTTCTTTAGAGATGGAGGCCGCCTTGGCCTCGTACCCCTCCTAGCATCTGTAGAAGTCCTGCATATAGACGCGATGTATACAGTCATTACTTCGAGAATGTCTAGTGAATGTGATGTATTGAGCAATGTAGTGCGAGGAATACTTACCCATAGCTCGCCGTTCACCCGCTCTGCCTTGTTGGGGAATACCATGTCGTCACGATCAGCAGCGTCGAGGGCGGTGACGTAGTGGTCCCACGTGTAGGCCGGCTATAGGTCTTTGTGGAACTGCACTAAGCCAGGGAAGTGTAGCCTGCACAAAAGGCCAAGGATGTCGTTGACCTTGCGGTTGTGATCACCCCCACTGACCTTAATCCAAGCCCTGCCCAAGTGATTAAGATAAATTATAAGTTTTCATTGTAATTGTCAACATATCAAACGAAAAATTATTGAGAACATCTAAAGTTACTTACTTTTTCCCAGAGGGTCGAATCATCGAGCGCCTCTCAAGAGGTATCGATCGCCTCAGGAGGGTCGAGGGACCTCGCAACCAGACCTAGGAACCCACTGCCTCCTCCACCTGCTCCTGCTCCTCCTGTACCTCCTCCTCGTCACCAGAGGCGTGCGCGGAAGGTACCTCCTCGTCACCAGAGGCGTGGGCGGAAGGTACCTCCTCAGACGATGACGAGGGAGCTACAGGCAACGGGGGCCTCACCCCTTTACCCTTCCCTTTACCCTTCCCTCCACCCTTGCCTCGACCCCTCCCTGAAGCTGACCCTAAAGCTCCGATCTTTCCGTAAAGCGCCACGATCTTCCTTGTACCGCCCACCATTGTTCAATCACCTACAATTAAAAAGAGTAAATCAATCAGCACAGATAAACAAAACATACTTAGAAAGATATGACAAATAATAAATAAATTAGTACGGCTCATACATGTATTAGAAATAATCATCATGATCGGGATTAGCTGGATCATAAGTCTCATCATCCCTATCACGCGTGTCGATATAATCATCATGATCGGGAATGTCGTCATCACTGTCATTGCCTAAATGTAATCGCTGAAGTAATTCTAAGTCCTCTACATTCTGAACCTCGTCTCCAGCGTCCTCGTCAGCAACCCTTTCATTGTCTACTTCCATTTCGATCGCTTCGGTTAAGTCTATCTCAAAACTCCCTTCGAGCCCATCTTCTTGGAAGAACTCTCCATCATATGTGTTGGGGTCTATGTTGTAATCTTCATTGTTTGGTACAGGTAGTTTACCGTGTGGCGATACCTTGTACACAACATCCCAACCCTTAAGACGGTCGTTGGTTTGGCACGGGTATGAGAGATAATAAACTTGTGTGGCTTGTTGAGCCACAATATAGACATCGTCTCCTGGTAAGACGGATGATTGTCAATTTTCGACTAGCCCAAGATTAGGGTCCGTCTCACTCTTGATGGATCAAACCAATGGCACTTGAATATGACTGGATTAAGAGGTTTGCAACCATGAAACATAAGTTCATATATTTCTTCAATTCTTCCGTAGTACTCGACCCCATCAAAGCCTAGCGTAAAAACTCCGGTATTTGTGGTTCTTCGATTGGGCCGACTCTGCTCGTGGCTTGTTGTGCGAAAGCGATAGCCATTCACGTCATAACCGGTAAACGACTTGACCCTATAGGCACAACCATCGGCAACCTGTCTCAACTCGGCACTCATAGATGCATCAGTTTGGCCCTACAAGTTCAAGCAGGGTGGTTCATTATATTATTCGCATGTATGAGCAACTTGTAATGTCAAACTAAGTATGAGCTAAATTGGACTGTACCTTCTGTTTGAACCAAGAAATGAAATCGGGCATTCCATTTTCCGCACCCTCTCTGAGAAGGGTCTCAGCTTCATGCGGGGTAGGTTCCCTTGATTCACGCTAGAATTGACGATGAAATTACCTGTACCAACGAGAAACATGGGAGTTGGACATAGAATAGTGACTACTTGAGAAAAAGTTTGTTGAGAACTTACAGCATGTACGGCTCCACTTCGGATAGGTTGGTCAACACATACAGCATGATAGTGTGCCACTCTTCATGTTTCAAGGTCTTGTGGGTCGCACCACTTGCACTTCCGAGTTGCCCTCGGAAAATGCTAAGGCTCGATTCATCTTCGCCCGCATTTTAATGAGGGGGTGGATTATGTACGCTAGGAAGATTGTCAGCATAGTATTTTGTTGTGAAGTTTGACATCTCCTCCAGAATGTATGCCTCTACAATGGATGCGTCAATTTTGCATTTATTTTTACATTTAGTTCGAAGAACCTTTTGACATCTCTCAATTGAATAGCACCAACGGCCCTGCATAGGCCCCCCATTCGTGCTTTATACGGGAGGTGCAGAATCATATGCTGCATTGGATTGAAGAAGCCGGGTGAAAAAATCTTCTCTGGCTTATAGAGCAACACAGGCGCCATTCTTTCCATTTCTGCAACCACGGTACGAGATAACTCCTTGGCACATAGCTGGCGGAAGAAATTGCTCAACTCCGCTAGCACCTGCCAGACATGCTCAGGGACATAGCCTCGAACCATCATCGAAAGTAGGCGCTCAAGCCATATGTGGTAATCATGACTCTTGAGCCCGTTGATTCGCATAGTAGCTAAGTTCACTCCCCTCTTCAGATTCGCTGCATACCCATCAGGGAACATTAACGTTTGGAACCATTCTAGTACCTTCCTCCTTTGGGCCCTCGCCAGGACGAAATCGGCCTTAGGCTTTCTCCATGACTTGTCGGCTCTGGGAGGCGCCATGTTCAGCTTTGGTCTATCGCATAACCTCGCTTGATCCACTCTAGCCTTAACATTATCCTTTGTCTTATCAGGAATGTCCATGATGGTACCAAAAATTGCCTCGGTGATATTCTTTTCAATGTGCATTACATCAATGCTATGTGGAAGAAGAAGATCATCAAAATAGGGTTGCTGTGCCACAGACAACATGTCATAATACGCCTTTGCGGTAGCCTCTGACTCCCCCTCCCTATGTCCTTCATCGAAGCATGCTTCATGATAGTCATTTAACATGTCTCCTACCCTGGCATCCCCATCATATTCCTCGATGCGTTGTCTCACGACCTCGTCTCTCCCACGATCGGCTTCACCATGGTAGATCCACCTGGTATAGTCTGCCATAAATCCATTCTTGCAAAGATGTTTACCCATGACCAGCTTGGTTTGCCGACGCGTGTTTGCATATTTGCTGCAGGGACACCAAGTGACACTAGCTCCTTTAACCCTTGCAAATGCCCGTTCCAAGAAAGCATCGGTCTTATCAATCCATTCTTCGGTCCACGAAGACTGACTAAAGCGGCCCGTGTACATCCACTCACGGTCATCCATCCTCTAGCATATCAGCGAGTAATATAAAAAATCACGTTGCATCTACATGTTCCTATACTATCAAATAGGTGAAGATATATTCTAATCCCACCCGAGGATGTATAGATGGGGTTAGTTTCCATGCTCTACTCCTATCCGAGACAGAATTTCGGCATCACCTCCCAGCTGTTCTCCAAATACACGTCCTGGAAGAGAGATTGTGTATCTGGAGAACAACAGAGAGATGCTGTCGAAACTCTATCACGGATCGGAGTAGAGCATGGAAACTAACCGCATCTACACATCCTCGGGCTGTCCAAAAAACGTGGACAATTCGAAACAGATACGGTTATATATATGCAAAGATCTGCATATTTCGAACCTTATCTCTTTCGAACGGGAGACGCCTAGCTAGGTTACGTGATATATGAACATGATATGGAAAGAAGGGTCTTTTATGCCTTACCTTGCTGTCCTGCAAAGTGACGAGTCGAGGACGTTGCAATAGCCTCTCCTGCAATAAAAGGAACATAGTAGTGTCAAATCTAAATTTCGGCAGCACCTCCCCTGCACGGGGAGGCTTCCAAAACCTGCAACAAATAAAACGGCACGATGGCCGACAACCACATCCACACCAAACAAACAGCACGATGGCCGACCACCACATGCACATCTTATACCTTGCAAAAACACGGCAACTCGAAGTTGTGGGGCGACAGGAGGGCAAGGTGGAACCAGGCGGCAAGGCAGGGCAGGGAGCGGCGGCAAAAACCTGCAAGTTGAGACACGCATATAGTCGGTGCATGTTTAGATTGCTAACATTTGCATGTGCAGTATATGTTACAGCTACAACTAATGCCATGATCATTAGTGGACTTATATGTATCATACAATCCTCTATTTGTCTTAGTAATTCTAGCCAGAAGAAGTGGCTAGACAGGAGATCCGCACAATGCAAGGCAATGCAATATAGAGTACTGTACGTACTACTAGTTGGATCCACACATCCGTCCTGGTCTAGGGGAGGGGAACCAAGAGCCAAAAGCCAACTCAACACCATCACCACTCGCTCATACCACTGCTGTGCAATGCAAGACACACACCGCATACTACCTACTCCTATATAGTAAAGGATGATCACCATAACAGATGGCCCAGGACTCGAGGAAGTTAAATCCAAATCCAAGCAAAGAGGAGGAGACACCCACGTTCATTCAGCCTGTTCGGTTGGCTGGTTCGTTTCGTTGCTGGTTCGTGAAGAAGTATTACTGGCTGGTTTGTGTGAGAGAAAAATACTGGATAATGCCTCACGGCGGCTTCTCCGGCAGCCTGACGTCACCAGAATTCGACTTCGCCGTGGACATGGGCCATCCTTTGCTCAACCGCACCGTCGACGGCTTCATCAGGATCGGCGCCGTATGTTACATCATCTTTTTTTTTGTTTACATCAATCAATCAATTGCATGCATTATATATCCATCCATCATCTAGACTAGATTGCTAATCTTCCATTTCAGTCATGCGTGTATATATATATAATATGTTGCAGGTTGGTGGTTGCAAGGTCGCCGCCGAGGAAACCTTCGAGTGCCTCCAAAGAGGTTAGGCTCTGATCTGATCCGATCCCTGCTCTCCTGCTCCCACCACCCATCATTTGTGTTTAAACATGTTGCAGTGTTTACTATGTACTAAATTTGTTTGCTTAATGCTCTATGACACTAAATATTCAGATCGCAAGATGTTGACTATGTACTAAATTGGTACTGTAAATCGCACAAAAAAAAGAATGACAGGTACTGTAATTGAATGAACTTACCGGGGCAGAGGGATACTGCAGGGAGCCGAAGGCCGGGGGCGGGCCGTGCCGGCGGCGGGACGGGGTGCCCGGGGCGGGACGCACCGGGGCGGGCGGCGCCGGGGGCGGGACGCGTCGGGGCGGGACCGCTGTCTGTTCAACCGTCTGTGTTGTAAGTTCTAAAAACTTACAGACAGCGGTTGTCTCCCTGTACATGCCCATAAGCAGGCGGCGGCGGCGGCGCTCATTAATTGCATTCTTTAATAAAAAAATAGTCCCGCAGCTGATTAAAAAAAAAGTCCCACAGCGTGCGACGACCTAGTACTTGGATCTACTGGTCTGCTGGTCGTGTGTGTGTCTGATGATGCACGTACACGATAGTATGCATGATGCAGATGCCGTCGTCACCGCTGCAACGCCAGCAAAATGACGCGGCCTCAGCTCGATATTAATTTTTTTCCTCCATTCCTTTGGGTGCACTTCAGTTTTCGTTTGATTTTTTTGTTGGCCTTCCGTCCGATTTCTTTATTTATGATTTCTTTTGTTTTTTCTTTTGCATCCGTGACCCTCTTAGGTGATTTTTTTCCATGGACTTTTTTTTATAAAAATAATTATTATGGACCTTTCAACTGTTGATTTTCTCTAAGACAATTTTTCTACTACCAAGTTGTTAACGTAAGTTTGATCAAAAACATATTCTTATTGAAACCTGGTTTAGCAGGTGATTCAACTAATCAAAATGTGAATAGAAAATTTAAATAGTTTATCGTCTAATTTGGTCTAAATAAATGTATCTGTGCGATAAGCGACGAGGCTAGCATGTGAAAACTCAAGTAAGTTTTCCATTACAATCATAAGTATTGTAAACACTCCTTGTTGACTTTAATTATAGAGATTAAAATTAGTTTTTATGGTCCTCAAACGTCCCAAAAATCAATATTTAACTATAGCAGTGTAATAAATAGGGGGCTATGGACATTTAGCTGCTAGTCTATCTTGATGCTAAGAGTCACCTATAGCGGACTATAGCAGGTTGAAATAGCTAAACTAAACATGAGCACAAATAGCGGTGTAATTTGTTTTTTCTTGAACTATAACAACACGTGGATAGAATCAAAAATAAAGTTATAATATATTTACGTCTAAATATTTATGTGGTTTGCAACAGAAGAAAAATATATCAAAACTGTATTTTAATTCAGACTTAACAATACATTGTCACATTGTTGCCTGGTATTAACTTATACTTTGGATATCATGGCCATCACGAAATAAATTATAGCTTTTAAATTTTATAAATGGTGAAACATAAATAATACCACTCTATAGATCGTCTTGGATATTCTAGGTACATAATTTTTGCTATACACGTAGATATACGAAATGTCTAGATACATAGTAAAAGTAATATATTCAGAGAAGACACCAAATGACACGTAAGTCGCAACGCACGGACATATTTACTAGTCTAATATTAAAGGGAGAAACGTTTCTTCATATGTCATTCCTCATAACCATCCGATGGGAATCTGATGGATCCAATATCTCTTGTACCCGTACGGGTTGGTGTCAAGCAACGGTGTGTAGTCCGATACTCTGATTCCAAAATGAATTGGAATACAAGGCGTTTTTCTAGTCGCTCGCTCGCTCGCTGCTCAGTCAGGCTTCAAGTCGTTTGCCTTTAATTTTTCAACTCAACAAAGACACAACTGTATAGCAATACTTACTAGAATGCTGGGTTAACAGGGCTTTGGTTCGGTGTGCATGCACACCTCACACGGTCACCTGGCGATTCTGCGTATCTCCCACCAGAGTACTCTACGTGCCGTCGCGACGTCGCGTGGAGCCGTGGAGCGGCGGAGGCGGCTCGGGCGTACGAGTGGTAACTGCGTCGCCGGCTGCCTCATGCACACCACCATCTTCGTCGAGGTACGAGCTGATTGCTCTGCTTTTCTTGTGGAGTTTTCGAATGATACGGATGACGTCAGGCACCATAGCTTTTGTAGGTTTGACCTTAGAATTTGACTTTTTTCACACATTGAAAATTTTCCCCTTTTTTATTATTAGAAAAAGGTGGAGTGAATAAAAGATCGTCGTCCTGTTCCATTTGCGGCTGTTAAAACGAACTGAAAAAATTCCGCCAAGAGTTCCTTTTCGTGATCCACGTCAGATGCGAGTCTGATTGGTGATTGATGATAGAAAAAACAGAGCAAGAGGACTCTATAGCAGGTGGAAAACGATGGGCACGTGCTCAGGAACCGCAAGTCTCGTCGTGGTTGTTTCCATCATCTGAATTATAGCTTAGCAATAAAACACAACAGGTTTATTTTCCACATGCTTGTCAGCGACAGATTGTCGTCCCATGCCAGGCACAAACTGCACGTGCTCGAATTGTTGCACATGATTAGTGTGTGTGGTTAGCTGAGATTCTTTTCATGAATAATAATATGTGGGTGACTCCTAATTGACAGTTTATATAGCAATTAATATTTTGCTAGTATTTGGATTTGTCTAAAAAAACTTACAATCGGGTGATTTTGTTTTTCAGGTGGATTTGGATCAAGCAAATCGTATTAAAATGAAGCACATGATTGAGGCCGCTCTGACTCAGCTAGATGCCGCCGGGAGCCCGCCAAGTGTGATGAGCTATTAGAAAGGGATAATCACGCTGAGTCGCTGACATGACCGGCCTAGCTATTCTAGTCGACCATGTCCATGTAGGAGACTAGGAGTCAACAAATGCGTAATCAATGGTGTTTCGATCGTGTACTGCTCTTTTTCTCGACGCCCCTTGCCCATATATAGGAATTATTAGGAGGTGGCTGCTTTACTATAGAGGCACTAGGTCAGGGGCTTTGTGATGGGGCTTTAAAGAACTTTGGTGTAATGAACTGAGATGTAAATTTCAAAATAAGAAGTTCATTGACTCTGCATGGTCTCTACAAGGGAAAAAAAATCATGGTGAAAAATAGCTTCTATGATCCTTTATTGCAACAAATGCAACACAGGCAAGTTGCATGTTTGCGAAAAAAAAAATATTGTAACAAATGAAACTATGATTATGGAAAATTACTTTCAAGTCCTAATCCCATTAGATGAGTCAAGCCTGATTTTTTGGCCTGGAGGGGCACACAATTTACAATGTAAAATAGGTAAGATATATATTTCGAGCTAGATTCGGACCAAGACTTTTTTTTTCTAGACAACAGGATCTGTGCTGCCCTGTCCATTAAGGCTTATGAGCGGACCAAAATCCAACAGGCTCAGACTAGGCCCATGGGCTATAGGCTGGCCTAATTTGCTTAGGTCTAGGATTTACAACCCAGAATGCCTTATATGAAACACTTTTAAACTCTGAATCCTTATATTTTAGGATGGGGGAGTAATATATCTTCCCTTTATGCAAACAATCTGCTTACGTTCTATTTCTATTTACCATTACCATTACAGTACATATTTAACCAGATCGCCTTGTGGAAACATTGGACCTGCATACTACAACATCCAAAGCAAAGTAGTAGTGAAAATTAAATGTTCAGCCGCTACTCGTACCCTGTCTACTTGAACTACTTTATTTCTTATATTAATTCTGCATGCATATAGTACTACTAGTAATAACTAACTTGACGCCAGATTCTACATAAACTGGCCTTGCTTGAAACCTGAATAATACTTGTCACTGGCTTGGTTCTTTGTTGCACAGCTAATCGCCTTCAGGGAAACGACGATGACAGGGTACGTGGTCTTCACTTTCTGGAGGTGCACTGCGACGTTCTTGGCATACAGCTCGAAGAGATCGTCGAGTACGTGCTCGCCGAAGTGGTGCGCGATGAGGGGCCCGATCACGGCCCTGATGGACTTAGCGACGTTGACGCCGCTCTGGACGCCATCGAGCACGAGGTCGCCGTCGTCCTCCATATCGTCGTGCGGATCCCAATTGGACTCAAAGAGCTGGATGTGGGTGACGTCGAATGTCTGGCTCTGCCTAATCACGTCCCTCACTTCGTCCACCGACGGGGCGTAGAACGGCAGGTTGAAGGAGTCCAGTTTCTCCTTCTCCACACGGCCCTGTGCCATGGTGCCATGCATGCAAATGCAATACATCAGCTAGCTAGGGTTCATCGGTTCAGTTCAGGATTTCCTTTGATGGATGATGTTGCACAAGACACGAGAAGAAAACAGAGCAGAACTCTTTGACGAGGGACTGAAGAGCCTGCCCGAGGAGGCCCCACATGTAGCTGACCTCGCCACGGAGCACGTCCTTGTTCTTCCTGCCGAGGAACGCCAGCACCATCTGGCCACCGGACACGAGCTCCCTGTGGCGCAGCCTGAGGAACAGCGAGAAGTCCTCCTGGAACTGCCTCCGGTACAGCGCCACCACCGCCGGCGGCGTGGTCTCCCAGATGTACATGTTGCCCTCGTTGAGGACGGCGCCTCCCGCGAGCTCGTCGGGGACCCTGGAGCGCCACATGAGGCAGTAGGGGGAGTGGAAGAGGTGCACGCAGCGGTCCGGGAACAGCCGGGTGTAGAAGGAGCCCGGCAGCCCGGCGACGTAGCACGGCGGCAGCGCGTTCCCCTTGTCCTTGACGGCCAGCTTCTTGAACAGCTCCAGCGACTGGAACACGAGGTTGAAGTCGTTCCCGGGCAGGTCGTTCAGGAAGAACTGCACCTGCGTCGCCGGGGGCTGGCTGCAGCCTGCGGCGGCCATCGCCAGATCCTCTCGGCGGTCGGCGACCGCTCCGAGCACCTCGGAGACGACGAGCAGCGTGTTGGGCCCCGACGAGCAGCCGAGGTCCGCGACTACCATGGCA